TCCACAAATGGTTCCCCCTCAAGGGTCACGGGATCCGTTTGATTGCAACAAGCTCTTCTTGAAAATGACTCCAGTCATCTATTGCAAACCTACGGGGAGGAGGAGGAGATTTTCATCGACCGTATCGCGCCCGTCCCGAGGACGGCTTTCGGTCCCGCTGGAACACACATTTTTCAACGTATTCTAATCCTGAAATGTTGCTTTCCTGAAAACTGAATCAATCTATTCAAATCACTTTGGATGACAGGGAAAGTGTTTTTAACTGTATCTGACCACAAGGTGGAGTGAACAAAAAACCCGAAATGTCGATACAGATCTGTTGCTTTGACTCAGAAAAAAAGCCTGCCACTAAAAAAAGGAATGCAATGAAGAGGAGTGCTGCGAATGTGGTCCACTTGAACAATTTGGTGTGTCAAAGTGCTCAACGCTTGGCTCTCAGAAGCAACGTTAATCATCCAACTTCCGTTGTCAATCGGAAACCTCCTCGTACGGGGAGCGAGGCCCTCAAACGGTTTCCAGACGGGCGCGTCGTGCCCAACGCGCAGGAGCGGAGCTCGAGCCCAACTCTGCGTGCTCAGGGAAGTCGACGAAGAGGGCGGAGCGATTCATGGAGCTGTCAGCTTGCTTTTTTTTTTGTCAATGGACGCCACCCTAACCCCTAACCCTAACCCTAACCCTAACCCCTAACCCTAACCCTAACCCTAACCCTAACACCCTAACACCCTAACACCCTAACCCTAACCCAACCCTAACCCTAACCCTAACCCCTAACCCTAACCCCTAACCCTAACCCTGACCCCTGACCCTGACCCCAACCCAAACCCCTAACCCTAAACCCTAACCCTAACCCCAACCCCAACCCCAGCCCTAACCCCTAACCCTAACCCTAAACCCTAACCCCACCCCTAACCACTAACCCAATAAGTGTGAGATGGAATATTTTTGGTTAGCTATTTATCTGAACAAAAAAAAGCACATTTAAAAATATATATTGTTAAGCAGACTTGTAGTACAGTGATTCTCAAGTAATGGGGCTAGTGGCTAACCCCCTAGGAGGGGCGCGTTTGACCTCAGAGAACATGCTTTTTTAATGTGATTTTTTTTTCTGTCCTAGAATGAAGTGCAATATCACCTCCACTACATCAGGGGGCAGTGGCGCTCTCTTTGGCAGAGTGTGTGCAGGGAGCATTCACTCGGTGTTGTTTGCACTGAGCATGCGCGCTTTGCACACAGCACAGAGTATGAAGTCAAGACACAAAGTCGACGGAGATCAAGACACAAACGAAAGTCTCCCGAAAGCTAAGACGAAGAAATATGACAAACCTGAGTTAATGTTGGTGATCAGTTTGAATGCATTATTTGATTTTTTTTTTGATTTATTTTTCAGTATTGTATGGTTTGACATTTTTATAGTTTAAGGATTTAATTTTATTTTTGAATTTCAGATGCACACTTACTAAAGCTATTATTTGTTGTAAGTTGGTCCATATTTCTTTCTTATTATTCTCTTATATGGCTGTTTGAAAGTGCTCTATATTACGTGTTAAGGATACAGTGTTATGCAAAGCTGTACTTATAACAATTTTATAGACAAATGATACTATTTTTAGGCACGCGGGGTGCACGAGATGTTTTCTTCTCTCTGGGGGAGCATGACAGAAAATAATTGAGAAGCATTGTCGAAGTATCAATAAAATGTTCTCCATAGCCGCACCTACAAAGACATGTGAATACTCATTGCAGGTCGTCTGATTGTATTTTTTATTTTTTTAACTTGCCCGTATGTCACATGTATGTATTTTTTTTTCCTTTTCCCTGCAATGTGAACAGTAGAATTCCAATCCTCTCGAATCCAACCCTTGCGGCCACGAATCTTAGGTTACGCTCAACCGCAAAATACATCATCAATGGCCAAATGTGCGCTCCGGTCCTTGGGAGATGACTCACAATGCTCCGCGCATTGCAAAGAAGTCAAGAGTGTCACTGCGCTCTTTCGATATTTGACTCGGCGCTTGAAACGCGACGCATAAAGTGGACATTTGTGGCGATAATTTAGCCACGCAAACGCTTCCTTCCTTCCTTCCTTAGGCCCGGCAATGCCGCAAAGTCATTTGGAGCAAAGTGACATCGAGATGCTTCATCTCACGTCGGCAAAATATTTCAAGCTCCTCCCGCCCGGCTCCTCCGTCAGTCTGAGATGAGCCCCAACAAGCAGGACCTTATCTCCCGCGCTGGCGCTAACGTGAGGTCACGTCATCCCACGCCGCGTCCGTGCGGAGGCGGCTCACTTCGCCGAGGCGTGCCGTTCTCACGTCAAGACGCTTTTGCAATGTCAACAAGTACAGCAAAACATTGGATTGGACGAAGACACTTGAATTGAGTAGCTGCAGTGTGAATGTAGCCTATAAAGTCATGTGACCGCTCATGATGACATCACACCTCAACGTGCGCTGCCAAGTCCTCAAAGTTCAGAAAAGCACAGGTCAAAGTTCATCTCTGTTACTTCCTCTTTCCAACCAGAGTCCATCCATCTTCGTCATCATGAGGAGGAGGATGTGTTGTATTGGCTGACGCACACTCAATCTCCATCTCCATCTCCTACGCACAACACACACGCAAACACACACTTATTGGCTCGTGTGCTCAAAGGACGTCGAGCCAAACACGCACAGAAGAATTTTGGTGTTTGTTTGCTGCTCATTCCCCCCTTCCTCCCCCGCACCGAGCGACCAGCTCATGGACCAACACCCCTGAGGAACCTTAGGACCGTAAAGACTGCTTTTTTTTTTTTCCATCATCCACAAATGGTTCCCCCTCAAGGGTCACGGGATCCGTTTGATTGCAACAAGCTCTTCTTGAAAATGACTCCAGTCATCTATTGCAAACCTACGGGGAGGAGGAGGAGATTTTCATCGACCGTATCGCGCCCGTCCCGAGGACGGCTTTCGGTCCCGCTGGAACACACATTTTTCAACGTATTCTAATCCTGACATGTTGCTTTCCTGAAAACGGAATCAATCTATTCAAATCACTTTGGATGACAGGGAAAGTGTTTTTAACTGTATCTGACCACAAGGTGGAGTGAACAAAAAACCCGAAATGTCGATACAGATCTGTTGCTTTGACTCAGAAAAAAAGCCTGCCACTAAAAAAATGAATGCAATGAAGAGGAGTGCTGCGAATGTGGTCCACTTGAACAATTTGGTGTGTCAAAGTGCTCAACGCTTGGCTCTCAGAAGCAACGTTAATCATCCAACTTCCGTTGTCAATCGGAAACCTCCTCGTACGGGGAGCGAGGCCCTCAAACGGTTTCCAGACGGGCGCGTCGTGCCCAACGCGCAGGAGCGGAGCTCGAGCCCAACTCTGCGTGCTCAGGGAAGTCGACGAAGAGGGCGGAGCGATTCATGGAGCTGTCAGCTTGCTTTTTTTTTTGTCAATGGACGCCACAGCTTCCAACTTAGCTCGTAGCAGACGTGCGCACATCTCGAGCGTGACGACTCCGATCCGCCGGTGAAAGGACACTTGGATTCTCTCTCCTCTTTCACGTAGAAGCGCTTCACACAGCAAGGCGGACATGCTGGAAGATGGTTACGATTGCGTGACTGTCCGCGTTTTGTTCTATTTGCGGATTTTGTTGTTTTCTGTGAACTGTTCTGCAAAGCGGGCGGCCCGGTATCCAGTGGTTAGCACGTCGACTTCACAGCGCAGGGGTACCGGGTTCAATTCCAGCTCCGGCCTCGCTGTGTGGAGTTTGCATGTTTTCCCCGGGCCCGCGTGGGTTTTCTCCGGTTTCCTCCCACATTCCAAAAACATGCATGGTCGGCTGATTGAACGCTCTAACTTGTCCCTAGGTGTGAATGTGATCGCGGATGGTTGTTCGTCTCTGCGTGCCCTGCGATGGGCCGGCGACCGATTCAGGGTGTCCCCCGCCTACTGCCCGTAGACGGCTGGGATAGGCTCCAGCACCCCCCGCGACCCTAGTGAGGATCAAGCGCTTCGGACAATGAATGAATGTTGTGCAAAGCGCTTTGTTCCAGAGCTGCAGCTGTTGTGAAAGCGCGAGTGCAAGTCAAGATGGATGATATTGTTGACGTTGATCAAAGGACCCGAGCTCATCTCAAGCACAGCACGAGACACTGCACGTCATTTCTCAGCAGGAAACGCCACCTTTGGTGCTGATCCCCTTAACTGGGCGTCCAATTCAAAATCGGGCGCAGGATTGATTGACCTACAGAACGGCCATTTCTCCGCCCCCATTCAAAGCGGTGCTGTAAATTATTGACCAATCAAAGGCCCGCCCGAATGTTCTCATCTGGAACGCTAACCCTTAAAACAGGGGCGAACATTTTACACATTTCCTGCTCATCCCTTAAAAGAAGAAGTGGGTGTTATCACCAAAAGAGCATAAAAGCATTGCCTTTTTTTTTGTTGTTAACAAGTCCTTACTTCTGTGGGACATTTTCCCGGGGGGGGGAAACATGCGCCGGGGCCAACAGGATACACAAAGATTCGTGAGTGACAGCTGGAGTGCGTAGGGAAGACAATCGGCGAGCGCGTGTGACCTCACCTGAGTTGGGCCATCGCTGTCCGAGTCTGACTGCCCGGGCGGCGCCGTGACCTTTGCCCTGGGCGCCTGCTTCTGTGTCAGCAGGTGGATCGAGTGCGACAGTTGCTGCAGCGCCCCCTGCTGCCACTGACTGAACATCCGCATTAGTTGGACGCACATCTGAGGACACACGCAAAGCGCACGCATCGGTCTTGTCAACGAGTAGGCCAAGTGTGTGTGTGTGTGTGTGGGATGGGGGGGTTGCAGGGATTTTTTTTTTTCTTCCCCAGACTCGGTGAGAGAGGCGCGCACTGTAAATCGACGTGGCGAGTCATTTAGGACGATCTCAGCTCAACTGTCTTTCTTTTGCACTTCTGATTGGCTTCGCGAACCCACGCGGAAACCAAAACGTTGGCGACGCCGGCTCATGTGTGCCAATGGATGGAAACTCGATCCAGATCACATAACGTGCCGTTAGGTTGCTTGTTTTTAGTTGCATATTATTCATGATAAATTGATTATGCTTGCAATGAAGAACGCTTCTGCTTTCCATGAAAATATAACGCTTTGAAGGAAGATATGCTCACGTTTATAAGAATGCTTCGCGCACCGGGCGGCAGTTGAGGGACGCGAGCACCTTTCCGAGAAAGCGGTTGGAAAGAGACAAGTATGGAGACAAAACAGGAGCAAGGTCGGACGCGGACGGAGCCGTCCACGCCGGCCGCAACTCGGGGTCTTTGGAACGACTGCGCACACGTTACGTCATTTTCACTCACGTCGTCCAACAAGTCGAGTGCGTCTTCAACGGTTTGGGTTGGACACGCCCATGTCGTCGATTGGCAAGAAAGGCGAGGGCGAGCGGGGAGATCCTCGGGTGACGTGCAGAGAACCGAAACCTAACGCTTCTCCCCGCCCCCCCACCCCGTACCACAATTGAGTCTCCTGTCTCCTCCTGCCGATATTTTATTTCTGAACGTCTCATTGATAAACCCGACACATAATGCACGGAAAAAGGGGGCTGCAGAGAAAGGGCGACATCGAGGGGGGCGTCCACATTTGTTTCAAGAAGGGAAACTCGCGCGTGAGGATGAGTTCACCGCTCGCAAAGTGAAATCGGTCAAGCCTTGAACTGTTTCACTTTGGATGATGAGGGCAGAAAGACCCCCAGAAGAAAAAAAGACCTCAATAAATCCACCTTTCCCAAACGGTACAAAGTTCAACATGGCAGCCCCCCCCCCCTCCTTCCCTGTTGCAATCCTGCCAGCTAAAAGGCCTTCGGAGGTTTTCCTCGGACAACCTTCACGAGGGCCGAGCCGAGCGTCAAAGAGCCGGATGGGCAGGCGGGCCCGCTCAGCGTGGGCGCGTTACGTCGTTGCGCCGACTTCCAAACGTCAATCGTGTCTGCCGTCTTTAGATTGAAGGTGACAAAAACTTTGATCAACGCCAAGCTGCTTGGACTACTCGCATGTCCACAGATGCGGCCCGGGCCTCCCTTGCGGTCAGATGCGGGCG